GCTAAGTTCACATGTTCGAATCTCTATTCGTACAAAATTGATTTTGTGTTTTTCGATAGTTTTAGTTTAGAATACTATAATGGAATATTTTCCGCTTGTATTCTGACAGAATAAAGCTTATATCAACAAAAAAACTTTTGTCCACCAGTTGATTAATCTAAATTTAGCTTTGTAGATCAAAGTTAAAGCTCAGATATGTTTGTCCACCTCAGTAAACGTATTGCTATGCCTAACGATACTCCAGTGACAAAATGTGTTTGGAATGCTGTTGATGGCTATGTGGCTGCTGGTGGCGCTGATGGACTTGTGAAAGTTTTAAAATTAGATTTACCCGAGGGTATGTTAACACTTTTGAGTGACATATTTTCTCCTCATGATCAGAATAAAAATTTTAGCTGGCGATGCTCGAATTCGTGGACTCGCAGGCCAAGCACAGTTAACAAAAAATCAATCGCTCGATGGCCACTCAGGAAGTATATCGAGCTTAGCATGGAATGAGCAATATAGTAAACTAACTACTGCGGATTCGAACGGAACAATAATCGTTTGGATTGATGGTACTTCAGGTATAATTGAAAATAAAGATACATCTTTCGAAATTTATAAACTATTATTTTATAGGAGAATTTATACAAGATATGTTAAACAATCGAAACAAAAGTCGTGTACGTGATATGAAATGGAATTCAAACGGACAAATGATTTGTATCGGACATGAAGATGGTAAGAAGAGAGAACACTACTTTTATTTGAAGTTTATTATTCAAATTATTTAGGAAATATTATCGTTGGATCAGTCGAAGGAACGCGAATTGCCGGTAAAGAATTAAAAAATCAAAAATTAACAAAAGTTGAGGTACGCCAGAATATTATACGAACGATTCCATCTTCACTTTCTTCCTTCATCGTCTAGTGGTCACCCGATAGTCGTTTATTATTATTTGGTTTCGCCAACGGTGAAATTCACATCTATGATTCAAAATTAAATTACTTATCACACTTGCAAATATTTTGTTTACGTGAGGGAACATCAAATACAACCACGGAACTAGCCGGGGTTGATTGGTATGATGGAAAAAATGGTCTATTGAGTACTATAAGCAAATGTTTGATAATTTGCTATGAAAATGGTCAAATGCAATTAATGTCATCGGAAGATGATCCGGCACCAATCATCATGGATATAGATATGCACGTTTCGTGTATAAAATGGAATGATGATGGATCGGTATTTGCCGTTGCAGGTTCTCAGGCAGCCGGAGATAAGACACATAATTTTGTACACTTTTATAATCCATGGGGAGAGGTATGTTATGAAGTCTAAAGTAGTAAATAAATATAATCAGTTGCATTATTTATTGTATAGCATCTAAAAACATTGAAAGTTGCGGGAAAAAATATATCCGATTGTACATGGGAAGCAAGTTCATTGCGTATGGTTATCGCTATTGATAGTTTTCTATATTTTGCTAATGTTAGATGTAATTACAAAGTACGCATATTTAACATGATAATCCTCAAATATCATTAACATCGACTTTGTTTTTCATTGCTCCAGTGGTGCTCTATTAATGATACTATTATCTATTCGTTTTATACTTGTACAAGACCCGAACACATTGTCGTATTTTGGAATACTAAAACAAATGAGGTATGTATTTACTCGTGTGTTATGAATTTAAAGTCATCTTAGATGCAAAAATTGAGCCAAATTAAAATGATCAGTACATATAATCACGCAATTCTAGGTTCATTATAGATACGTTCGAAATTTATTGGCACTGGGTGGGTTTGGTAACTATTGTTGTATCGGTTCATTAATAGATCGTTCATCATCAGCTACAACACCACAAACTCCTAACGATTCCTATATTATTTCTATATGCAATTCAATTGGTGTTACAATTGAATCAAAATATGTTCCGTTTCAACCTTATCATATCACTATGACGCCAAGTTATGCTATTATTGCTGCGAGATCAATGTTTTTTGTGTGGGGTTTTACTGGTTTAACCGGCATGAATATGATGAAAAAGCAAGCATTCGAAAAGTAAAGTGTCTTGATATTATTTCAATTCGAAAATAGAAGATTTTGTTTTGTTATTTAGATTTATACACATGGATGACCCATCTGTGACAAAACAAGGCGAAGAACTTCAAATGAATATGTTATCTAATTTGGAAGTAAGTTTAGTAGACACACTTTTTCTAAACAAAATTGGAACTTAAACGAATTTCTTTAATTTTTGCCTAGGAAACTGAAGATCCAATTACGTCTATTGCAGCGTCAGATAAATGGATATTTGTGGTAAATTGTAGAGTAAAGATGTTAAAAAAATTTTTGTTCATTTTTATTTTTTCAATTTGTTCTAGGCAAAATTATCTGGTCTAGTTTTACGATATTCATTACCTGCTTGTAATCTAGTCGAAAAAATTGAATGTCAATTTCATATATGTAAAATTGCCTTAAATTCATTGGGAACGTATGTCTATCAGGATGAAATATTCTTGCTTAGTTAATTGAATTTTGTGTATGAGTTTCTAGATTAATGGCTACTATCGATACAAATGGAAATTGTATGTTAATCGATATGGAAACAAAAGAACAACGTGATGATATAACAAATTTTAAAAAAAGTGATGTTTGGAATGTTGTATGGGCTACAGTTAAGTGTTCTGAATATCTATTTTTATAAATCGTTTTCATTTTATTGGATAATTTTTTCCTAGGATTTACCGGATTGTTTCGCTGTACTTGAAAAAACAAAATTATCGTGTGTACGTGGTACAGAAGCTGAGGTTAGTCTTCTTTATGCCCTGTCACTCTTGTTCGATGATATCTGAAACTAAGCAGGTGTAATTTATAGGAAGCTGTCCCATGTTCAGGATACATTTGTGAATATTCTAATCTTCAAGTAAAAGTGGTAATGTTAGATGAAATAATGAAAATGCATGCAAAAGGTGTTCAAGGTAAAAAAATTTTTTTGTTTTTAAAATTATTTATTTTAAATGATATATTTCTTTATTTTTTTTTCCAGCACCATCGATCGACTATATTTCTACTTATGATACCAGAGTAAATATAATTCTAATAAATTTTAATTTCAAAAAATCTATGTATTTTCATTTAACTTAGCTTCTTCGAGATATAAAAGAATCATGTGAAAAATTGCCGTTAGATCAAGTCAGTAGTCTAATAGAAAAAGATCCACATCCACAACTTTGGTAATTAAGAAAATGAAATATTCCATTAACCAATAAATGACAGTATTTAGATATTCTATTTTCTTCTAGGCGTCAACTAGCGGAAGAGGCATTAAATCATTTGGATATTAAAACTGCTGAACATGCATTTGTCAAATTACATGATTATTATGGACTTCAGTTTTTAAGACGATTGCAACAATTTCAGGTAAAAATGAATTTAATTTAATCAAACAAGTATTTGAACTTTTTTCAATGTTCATTTAGGGAGAACAACTCAAAAGAGCAGAAATAGCGGCATTCTATAAACGATATGATGACGTGGAAACAATTTATCATGATATTGATCGAAAGTAAGAAATAAAACAGAATCATTTATCGATCGAACTTTATTTGAATGCCTACAAACGACGAAAGTTTTTGAAATCAAATGTGGAGCATACACTTGTCTTTTTTCATAGAGATTTGGCTTATCAACTTCGACGTAAATTAGGCGACTGGTTTCGTGTTGTACAAATATTACAAGCTGGTGGCACGGCTACAGTTGGTAGCGATACAATGCAATCAGAAGCATGGAATGAACTTGGTGATTTTTATTTCGATCGTCAGCAATGGTATGCCTTTTTTCTGAAGTACTTTTGAATAACATCTTCTTTGCACATAGGGTTACTGCAAGTAAATACTATGAACAAAGTCGAAATAATTCTCAAGTATTCAAATGTTATTCAATGGCCGAAGATTATACATCGTTAGAAAAATTAAGTCAATCTCTACAAGAAAATGATGCATTATTAATGCCAATCGCTGATACATTTGCTAGTGTTGGATTGTGTGAACAAGCGGTTGATGCTTATAAACGTGTATGTTTAAAGAGTGTACTTGCTACTATCTAAAAAATGTTATTGTTATCTTCTAATTTTAGTGTAATCGTGTACAAGAAGCGTTAAAGGTATGCATTAGTCTGAGTCAATGGGATGAAGGTATTCAATTGGCAAAACAATATAATCTGAATGATGTTAAAAATTTACTAACAAAACAAGCAAAACAATTGTTAGATCAAAGCAAACCATTTGATGCCATTGAATTATATAAAAAATCAGCAAGCTATTTAGAAGCAGCAAAAATTATGTTTGAGGTAAACGGTGTATGCTTGAAATGAGACACATATCATTCATTACACATTTTTTAAATAGATTGCTAATAAACACAGCAAAGAAAATCGTCCATTATTATTGAAAAAGAAATTGTATGTTTTGTGTGGTTTATTAATTGAAAAATATCATAATTCAATGAAAACAACATCCAGAAAAGAAAAACGAGTAACAACGTCTGTATCGGTAAGACTAATTATGTTCTTCAAATATATTATAGTTGATTTATTATAAATTATATTTTCTAGGCAGCGGAAGCACTTCAAGGATTATTGAGTGAAGAGACAACAGCATCTGGTGTTTCAGATACACAATTGCTTGATAATGCTTGGAGACCGGCTGAAGCTTATCATTACTATATATTAGCACAACGACAATTTAAAGCAAATAATGCCGAAGGTGCATTAAGATCGGCATTAGCTTTAACAGAATATGAAGACATACTACCAGTACAATGTATCTATAATTTAATAGGTAACCAAGTAAAAATTTTGTATTTGAATTTATCTAACAAATGTAACAAGAACGACTATCGAGTTCGTATCAATTGAATTTTGTAAGGCATGTTTGAATGAGAAATGTCATCCTTCATAGGCCTGATTTAAAATTAGTACAATGATTGAAACGGCAACATTTGTTTCGGAAATGAAATTTCGGAATAAAATTTGACTATTACAGCGAGTTGTATTTCAAATATATACATTTTATTGACGTTTATGTTGTTGGCACGTGTATGTCTTTTCTGATGCATCATCTATACCGTCTCGTATTTTATTTGACCGTTGATTAATACATCATTCTAAGATATTTTACTTCGACAAACACGTTCAAAATTCAGATCATTGAAACAACTATTCAAAAAAAATTTTAATACTTACCAGCCTTCAGTAATTTGTTTTCTATGTGTCAATACCGGATGACTGATCAAAATATAGAAGTTTTGAATATGAAGTATCGATTATTCTTCCCGCTTCTTCCGAATCTAGAAGAGAACATCTTGAAAAAAAAGGCATCTTATTCCGTTATTTATGATGAATGTGTAGTCGATTTCATGATCACGACAAAACAAACATTATCTTTTTTCTTTTCTTTCAGCTTTATGTGCCACGGCCTGTGGTGCATTTTCAACGGCGAGTAAAGCATTTTTGAAACTAGAAGATCATCCATCGATTAGTGAAGACGATCGTAAAGAATATCAAAAATTAGCATTTCAAATATTTTTAAAGTAAGATAATAAGTTTTTATCGCATTTTAAAAAAAAACAGACGTATTCTGTTGTTGACCATCTCAAATATATTCAATCTAGTTTAATGTCTAATATTATTGTGTATTTTCTATCCATCATACATAACGATAAAAAAAAAAATTGATTTCTTTGTTCGTTCTTACTTTTGCACTCTGTCTCTCTCTATTCTTTAATCTCTAACATATGTTTTATATTTTTTTCCAAATTATTTCTTTTTGTTTTCTGTTGTTGATCATGATACACATATTTTTCGACATATCCGTGAATGAAACAAATTAAGGTGAAAAATTTAGATTTTCAACAACCACTACCCAGTATATTATCTTATCACAATAATAATATTCATAATCCTAATCGATTGAAAAATTCTGTTCATTGGAAAAATTCATTAGTCACTTATCATTCTTATATTGTTAATGAATCATCGTCTTATTTTCAAGATCATAAATATGAATGGTATTCAAGATCTCATCCAAATTATAATATAAAAACATTTTGCACTATTCCCATTGTACCACGTAATTCTACTACGCAACTACCATATACTGTTGATACACTCTATTGTTTTGATATTGAAAAAAAATCACCCGTTACTGAACAACAAAAATTGGAAATAAAAGATTATTTTAAATCATCATTATTTGCATGTTTAACATGTTTTTGGATGATTGGTGGAGTGGTATGTCTAATTCAATCATTACATATAAAACGTTTAAAAAATATTTGTGTAGAAGAAGCATTACAAAAATCATATCGTTTACATACAAATTTAATATTAACATATATTTTTGGTGGTGTGACATATTTTATTTTACTTATGACTATATTCATCTCATTTTTTGTCGGTATTAAAGGTTATTTTGGTAAATCAATTTAAATCTATCTATTCTTTCACATTTTTACACACGTTTTTAAATTTATTATTTACGAATATATCAAAACGTACAGTCGATCTTAAATTAAAAAAGTTAATTGATGAAGTTTAATTAATTTATTTGCTAATATTGTATTTTTTGTTGATTAATCAATTATTTTTTCAACAATTTATCATGTTTCTTTATTCTTGTCAGTCTCTTTGAAAAACAAAATCTTTTCCATAGAAATGGATATTTTTAAATACTCTTTTAACTTAAACATAAACGTATTTTAAATAATAGAATTTTAAATTATCTTTTGAACGTTTTAGCAACAGATTTATATGAGATAACAATTATAGTCCGTAGTAGAATTGAATAAAGGTGTATTTGTGCGTTAAATTTGTCAAACCTATTCAAAGTCAATTAATCAGAACTAATTAAAATAAGGCTTGTGTTTTCGTCGTTGAATACGATCACACAATCAAAAATTGATTTCGTATTTTAGTTCATTTTGTTAAATCGTAAAAATTTGTATCTATATAAATATGCAATTTTTTTGTCTCATTTGAATTCGACAGTTTGACAAAGATTTAGGCGAAAAAGAACTCTTTTTTTTCATTTATATATCTCGTTTTATCTAAACTGCAAATAATTCGCAAAGAATTGTTCAAGCATATTTTTGTGATGCTAAATTGTCCGTTGAGGAAAACAATATTTTTAACAAGCATACACAATAATATACGTCGGGGAGTGTCGTTCTAATGTTCAATACAATTTCATGTCAATTGTTAGTATTTCTCTATCGATAAAGTGTAAGATCTAACTATTTATATTATTTATTTCATTTTGGATAGTATGTCATGTTCATTAAATATTTTTTTTTGCGCTATAAACAATCCCGTGTGACTTCTCGATTACTTTTTTATTTAGTATAGAACGTGTATGTTTCACACTTCAATCTAAGTTGTTTTTTTTATTTTTAATCTGTTTTAGCTCCCAACCAAAAGACAAACGACCAGTATTAAGTGGATCATGTCCACAGTGTTCAAATCGTATCACTGATTGGTGAGTTTAAAAATATTGAAGATAAATCATATTTTGTTCAGAGTTGTGAGCTATAAATGATATATAATTAAAATATCTTTTTTTATTTAGGTATCTTAACTGTCCAACGTGTGATTGGAGATTTCCAGCGTGTATTTGTTCTGGAGCTCCTATTCTCCAGCACGTTTTTTGGATATGTCCAAATTGTCATCATCGAGCACTCGAAAATGAGATTAGCAGAAAAGATGTCTGCCCTCTCTGTCATGGACCTGTTACCGGATAAAAAATTCATTTCTAATTGAAATTGTTGTTATAAATATCATCTCCTATCATTTTACTACTTTGTTATGCAGATATGTTCATTTTTCTATTTATTATTCTACATGTTGTATCTTTCTATGAGTTTTTGTATTGTAAACGACTCGTAGTGAATTAAATTCTAGTGAATACGAATTTTTTCCAGCATAACAAGACAAGTTTTCTACGTAGAAGTATGAAAAAAAATGATATTTTCTACCAGACCGTTACAATTAATTTTGTCCATATAACATTTTCTATATAGTATCTTCCTGGTTTATGTGGTCTGTTGATGTTTCATTTGTATTTTTATTTCCTCTGATTAGTAAATGAACTGATATTGAAATTGTTTGATTGATTGCTCCAGTCGGTCCCCTGTCACAACGAAAAGAAAGGTGATATGTGTAGATTTTTTTCTGCTGATGTCTATGCATAGATGTTTTACTCCTTTTTAACAGAAATATTTGGAATAGAAGAATATATGCCCGATTGTCTAATCTTCAGTCCAAATCTATCAGATGCAAAAAAGCAAAATTTCTCGATTTTTCTTCAAAAACTTGTATAAAATTTTGACTTTAAGATAAAGCTGAATTTTCTTAATGGAGAAATTAAACTTGATTAGTATTGCTTACCTTTGCAAAGCATGTTATATTTGGATCTAACTTCACAAAATCAAGAAGCAGAGGGGATCTGCATTTGTCGCCTAATAGAAACCAATTTTGATTTCCTGGGGTTGAAATATCCTTTTTTGGTTTTGTAAGATACTTGAGGAGAGTAGGGTAGTTCCAAAAGAAGCCTACTATTATATATAAGATTTTGTTTGTGCAAGCTGAAGTTTTTGAGAAACAAGAAGATCTCGATGAGGTAAGACGAATTGTTCACTATGATTTATGCAAAAAAATTGACACTGTGATTTCTTGTTGATTCCAAAATGGAAATACTGACTCATTTTTTTCTGGGTTCAGTAACCAACAATAAATATTAACTATAGGGTCTGTGGAGAAAAGTGTTGTGACGTTTGTTTAAACAAGATCTTGGTAGATCGGTCCCTGTCTCGCGAATTCAAATAGTAGTTTAGTTTAAAAGTGATTGATGAAACTGTGGTGAGCAGAATTTTAATAAAAAATAGTAAGAATGAGCAGGGATGGGAAACCAATACTTATACAAAACATAGCAGCAACATTCTATTAAATTTAAATGAATCAGCCTTTCAAATTATTTACATAATACTAGAACATTACTTCATGTTTAACCTTCTATACGAAATTCCTTTAGCACAATAGAAACTCAAAATAACATCTGCATAGCAGTGTAGTAATTCATTGTGTTATAAATCACAACAGGCTTATGTTTGATACTTCTCAGTCTACCTTCATTTAATTATCTGTTGTGCGCGTATGAGTCATAAGATAAAAGGAGTTTTAAAAATAAGGAAAAAATCGACTGTTTCCAAAATATCTGAACAACTACGGATCAGTTAATTTTTGTCTGCTGAAAGAGCACATTTATACAATATATGGAACATAAAGTGTGAAGGAACCAGATTGATAGTTAAGGTGCTCAAAATGCTTATATTTAAGCACGGCTCTTTTCTTAGAACTGAGTTCAACACTGCAACGTAATGTCTGCAAGTGTCATTTCATAATGTGTCGATACATGTATTTTGGAGTCAGGATAAACAAAGAGGCTGTTGGAACGATAAAAGGATTTGTCGTCTGGAAAGCGTCTTCTTTTAGAATAGTAAGATCTGCACCTGATAATTTTCCAAATTGGAAATTTCATTAAAACAATCTGGGATTATCGAAATGCAGTCCTTTTCGACAAAACCCGGAAAAACATTAAGATGGTGACAAGATTATTTCTCGCATCAGTGAATCACATCCCTTTCGACAATGGTTAACTAGTATGATTCTTCTAGTCTGTTTCTTTTGTTGTTTTGTTATTGTTTTCTATTCACGTTTTTTTCCTTTATCTTCTCTAAAACAGTTGCCAATACATTTTAATGCAATAAGTCTCGGCTATAATTTAGTACCCTACTCGACCGACCTTACGGCAATTCTATAGAAATCTTATAGAAATCTTATAAGAATCTTATATAAGACAGTCGATGGAAATGCGTAATTTATTGATAAGATTCTTATAAGAAGGAATATAAGAATCTTATAAGATTCTGATAAGAATTCGGTAAGATAGATTATATAATTATTTTATAAGAATTCATAAGATTCT